CCTCTCCGTAGGTCGTTCTCTCTCTCTCTCTCTCTCCCTCCCCCTCTCTCTCTCTCTCTTTCTCTCTCTCTCTCCCTCTCTTTCTCACACGGACGACCTCTTCATCTTGAGGTAGTTGGCAACCATGAAAGAGTCGTGAAGTAGAGGAGGAAATTGGTCGTTATCGTGAGGTGCCACTTTGCTCGTTCCGGCTTGGTCTACGAGCAGGTGCGAAATCCGAGAGGGCGACCTGGAGAACGAACGCAAATTGTAGTAATATATCTGTATATGGTAGGAGGAAAAAACAACAATAAATCTAGTTTGTGCGTTGTGGTTTTTTTTCTACCGTAGTACCAACACGGTATTGTGTGTTTTTTATATCTGTATATCTATCTTTATCGGTCTAATTATCTATCTATCTGTCTGTCTGTGGGCATATCCGATAACCTGTCTGTCTATCTGACAATGGGTCGGATTTAGAAGTGGGCAAATTGGGCAGCTGCCTAAGGGACTTCCGCTATTGATTATAATAAATTTTTGTGAAGCCTATATATATATATATATATATATATATATATATATATATATATATATATATATATATATCAAGTGACAAGTGTCTAGGTGGCTGAGGTTTTCTATGAGAAACAATAATAATCTGCGGTCTATCCTCCTCCAATCCATAAGTAAATGAGAATATACATAGATGAAATTGAAAAAAAAATACATCTCTCTCTCTCTCTCCATTCCATCTCTCTTATCCCTCTCTCCTTTCTATCTCCTCTTCCTACCTTTCTCCCTCATTCGCCTCTCTCCATTCCATCTCTTATCCCTCTCTCCTTTCTATCTCCCCTTCCTCCCTTTCTCCTCCTGCCTCTCCCCTTCTCTCTCTCTCTCCATTCCATCTCTCTCATCCCTCTCTCTATCTATCTCCCCCTCCTTCCTCCTCCCTCCCTCCCTCGCCTCACCTGACGACCGAATACCGATGCCTAATATCCGCAGGACTGTGATGAGGACGCGGGTAGCAGGTGCAGGAGCAGACGGTGGCGATGCTGGCGTAGGACGGCCTCCGCTCCCCAAGGCCCTCGGCGTCCTGAGTGCCAGCCAGGACCTTCCCGTTGATGGCCATGAGCTCGCCGTCGAGGGTCACCACAGACTGGGAGGCGTCCTGCATCTCGTACTCCCCCGCTTTGACGTCCTCGGTGTTCCTGGAGGGGGTTTGGGTGGAAGGGGTGGGTGGGGTGTGGTGTGGGGTGGTGGTAGGGAGAGGGGGTGGGATGAGGGGGGATGGGGTGAAGGTAAGGGGAAAGGGGTGAGGGGAGAGGGGGGTGGGTTGGATGGGGGGCAGGTGGGTTGGATGGGGGTGAGTGGAGAGGGGGTGGATGGGGAGAGGGGGTAGGGAGGTTGGATGGGGGTATGGGGAGGGGGGTAGGTGGGTTGGATGGGGGTAAGGGGAAAGGGGGTGAATGGGGAGAGAGGGGTGGTGGTTGGGGGTTGGTAAGGGGTGGAAGAGGGGAAATGGGGATGGGGATGGGGAAAGGGGATTGGTGGGAGTAAGGGGAAAGTGGGTTGTGGGAATAGGGAGAGGGGGTGAGTCGGGAAATAGGGGAAAAGGGGAGAGGGGATGGGTAGGGTAGGTAGCGGTGGGAGAGAGAGGGGACGATAGGGGATGGGAAAGGTAGGGAGAAAGATGGAGATAGGGAAGCGAAGGAAAGAAGGGAGAGGCGTAGGGAGGAAGAGAAAGGGAAAGAGGGAAAGGGACGGATTAAGGTAAAGAAAGGGGGAAAGAAAGAGTTAAGAGCCAGAAAAAACAACAACAGAATATTGTCAAAACGAAAAATTATGAACCCAATAAAAGCAAAAAGCTTTCTTAAACACGAAATATGAGACAACAATTTTAAAGTCGCTTTACATTTTATTCGGTAAACTTTTCAGCACAAGTCAGAGTTTCTTATCGTTGTCATAGGGAATTTAAAAGACAGTTATTATTCATCATGCTATACACGTTACGGCACATATTTCATAAGTATCTATTCATATGCATATGTATAATTTATCTATATATACATATCTATACCTATCTATATTTCTATATCTATATACTTACAGAAAAAACGAACCACACGGAACGATACACAAATACGTACACACATTCACACATAAACACACAGACACACACACACAAACACCCTCACAAACACACACACACACACAAATGAAGCCCACCCCAAAAAAACAACAACAACAACAACACCTAAAGTCCACCCCCCAAAAAATATATATACATATATAAATAATAAAACATAAAACCCCCACCAGAAAACCCCCCACCCCACGCCGCCATCCCCCCTTTAAACAAAGCCTCCCAGCCACTCACATAGTCATGAACCTCAGGACCAGCAAGTTGATGGAGGCGGCGACGACGGTGAGGCCGAAGAGGATGAAGACCAGGGAGAGAGCGACGTAACCCGGCTCGTTGGTGAGGGCGTTGCGTCTCTGGGGGAGGAGGAGGTGAGGGAGG